GGCTTTCCGCACTGATGCTCCCCTGAGCCTCTTGAGGCACTTGGGTGGGTAGCAATCTAGGCTTGGCAGTCGGACAGATCGAATGTCGTCTAACAGAGCGAGTTGGCTTTGTATCCCGATCGGTAGAAGGCAATCGCAGAGAGGCAAGACCCTTCTGGTTATGATGAGGCAGCTGTGGAATGGCGTTGCGAGCGACCAAATCAGCACTTAATTCTGACAATCGTCCCTTAGCATCGCCAGGAGTAGAATATTCTAGGCGAAGAAGAGCAGCGTTAGCCTCAAGAGTAAGGTCGCCGAGACTTGAACAGCTGCCATCCTCACAACTTGCTAAAGGCGATGATGCCTTTGAAGAAGTGATTGCGGTCATTTTAACCGTATCGCCGACTCCTGTGTCATTTGAGACTACAACAAGTCTGTAATTGTCCTGGCTATCCAAAAGATCATCGGTATCGTCATCGCCATGGGCAGAGGGAGACATGGGGCTACCAGAAATCACCATCTCGGGGGCGTCGAGGTCCGGATCTGCTGGGTAGCAATTTTTTGTAGTCTGGAAAGAGGTTTCTAGATCTTTAAGACTATGTCGAGATAAACCTGACCCCGAGGCAGGCTGAATAGTGGGAGTTGAACTCGGGATAGATGAAATAGCTGAAGTCCGCTGTAACCAGAGGCAAATAGACTGATGTATTAATTAAAATGATGAAAAAGCGCAATAACCTACACAAACAAGGATAGCGATGCTACTTGGTAGAAAGAAATTTACAACTGGCCCAAATGGGGCAAAGCTCGTAGGTTGCAATAATAACTCAAATTGAGCTAAGAAATTAGGGTCAATGTTTAATTCGCCTCGATTCAGAGGATCAAATCAAGATTCCGGGAAAAATCGTAGTAGCAGTGATTCGAAAAGGCGGGCATCTCGGTAAGGGAAGATAGCGTCACGAAAGTAATGTGGATTGATTAATGACAAAAAAGTAAGAGCTGATCACGAAATCGAAAGAAAAAAATGAATGGAATGCAAATGAAAGGCTAGCATGTCAGTAAAAGTATAAAATAAGAATATCTGGCGAAGAAGTAAGTATCTTGAAGTGAA